TACTATTTAACCATCCCCACACTCCCATATGAAAACCATTTGTGTGTACCAGCAAACAGATCAGAAGAGAGTTTCCAAAGAAAAATATAATAATGGTGAAAATATCATCATCATCCATTGGCAGCATTGTGAGGAAGAGGTTTTCAGACATCTCATCCTCTCTCCCACACCTCAAATCCCCCCTCCATCTCCTCCCCCACCACAATCGCGACTTCGCGGATCACCTCGTCAAGGTAGGTGTATACATATACGATATATGAAGAATCCATGAAAGAATCGCTCTTTATCCTTTCCCGGCTTTCATCGGTTTCGGGCTCTGACCTCTTTCTTTAAAATCCAGGAAAATGTCGCGTTGGCGAGACTCGTGCAAGAGAGGAAGTATGGGTTTGATGTTATTTTTTCGTCATCGATCTTATAATAGCATATATATTCTTTCTATTATTGATTTGTTTTGAATTGGTATATTATAGTTCGACATTTACGCAACTTTAAAAAAAAAAAAAAATGATGTGGACAACAAGATAATAGAAGCCAATGGGATTGAGATGAGGAAATTGAAACTGGGTGCTCAGAAAGTGCAGTTGCAGAACTGGAAACTTGCTCAATCCAACACTCACATGGCGACGGTTAGTGTTCTTTTTTAGTAAAAATAATGCAATATCTTGAATTCAAAATTCTACGATGTGATTGTGTTTGATTGTTTGCTACCCTTTGAATTGATTCTTGCAGGAACTTCACTTTAATAAAGAAAAGGTAGGATCTCTTTTGTTGCTTTTTAAGTCATTTGAATCTTAAGACATATTTTAGTGAATTCCAATTCATTAATGTCCTAGGTTAAGGCCCTTCAACATGAGCTTGTATGCAAGGAAGCCATACTCAAAGCAAAGACAAATGAGGTAAAAAAAAAAAGGACTCTTAACTGTTAAAGTATCACACTTCACACACCAAAAAATTAGAAGAAAAAAATGGTTAATAAGTTTTTGCTTTAGTTTAACTAGACAATCGATTCGATTAAATCTTTCAGTATATATTTTAAAAAGAACTTTGAATGTAGGATAAGAGGGGTGAAGTTGGAGAATCTACACCGTATGTTGATGATGCCAAATCAGTTAAAAGCAACATGAAGTTTCAAGTCACGAGGAGAAAATGTAACTTCTGCTTTTAGGGGGGTCATTTTATTTAGCCTATTTATTATCGTGTTCGATTATTCGCATTTAGGCCCAAGATGCTTAGCCCATTTAATCCACAGGGGAAACCTGCGTGAGATAAACCGTAGTAGCCCGGTACAAAAGTAGGCCCAAGATGCTTGGCCGATTCTATCCACGAGCGAAACTCGCGTGAGATGGGCCATAGCAACTTGAAAGTAAGGGGGGAGGCCACGTGATATTGGCCTTACAGATCATAACTCTTTTAAAGGGGTGCAATTGAAGGAGGTGGAGGGGTGCGTTCGGGTCAGGGCGGGATATGGGGGTTTACAGGGGGTTAGAAGGGATAGGAACCGTCAATTTTACGAACGGGGCACCGAAACACCCCCGGGTCGGTCATCCCATGACATAGGGTTCCAATGTTATGGGAACCCCACCACTCTTTTAAAACCCTTCGATCTCCTTCCCTGGAAAAGCTATTGCACCCTTAGGGTCCATTTGGTATACAGAATTGATGGAATTAGAATTGAATTGGAATTAAAATTCCATGAAATTCAATTCCGTAGAATTGAATTCACCAATTCCAATTCATTTTTTGCACTACCAATTCCAAATCTACATAATTTTTGTGCTACCAAACACGAGAATTGGAATTGAAGTCCTCAATTCCAATTCCATAGTTTGAATTCTGTGTACCAAACGGGGCCTTAATAAGCTTTTGAGTTTTAAACCATTCAAATTTTATTCTTTAAATTTCAGCAATGGTCCATTCAACTCCTTGCCAACAAGTTGCAGCAAAGGGAATCTCAGATAACAAACAGTATGTTTTCTTTTGTTTTCTTCTTTTATATATATATATATATATATATATATATATATATATATATATATATATATATATATATATATATATATATATAGACACACACACTTTTTGCTTGGGGGTTTATAATTTATTCAAATCTACGCACAGAAATTTATTGAGAAGGCAATCCACTGGTACAAGAACGCAACATAAAGAACGTGCCCAAAAAATGTGTGAGATGGAAGACGCTCCATCGAGACAAAAAGTTTGGTGTTTGAAAAGAGCAATTGTGGGAAGGCCGTGCAAATTTATAGGTTGAAAATTATTGGCTTAGATTTTGTTTACTTTTGTTCTGCAGCTCTTATAGGGTGAAGAAATATTGGCTTCCCAAAGCATAATTTTATGTCGTCGTCCAATATAATGTGTCTGGCGATTTGATTAATTGTGTGTGCATTTTTTCTTGATGATTGGATTGTGCATAATCTTAAACTGTCCATTTTTTCTTGATAATTGGATATAAGATTGTTACACCAAATATTTGGTGTAAAATTATTACTTAATTTAGTTGGAGCACTTACGGTGCTCTGATCGTACAATTGATAGCTAGTCTGTCTCGTTCTTATTGCACCCCTCGCCCATTGCACCACGGAAGACTTTCGAGATATGAGTAAAAATTATGAAAATACTAAAATACGAGTCACAAGTCTTTGAAAACTAAAATAGGAGTTCACAATCATTGTTAAATTGTCAAACTCACTACATTGTCACTTTGTAATCATCACACTATCACCTCACACTGTCATCTGCTGTCGCCGGCCATCAGAGTTCCGCCACGGATTGCCGACGATTGACTGATCACACTAACCTATTATATTATCATCATTTTTCCATCACATCACATTGCCATTATGTATCTATTTTGATCTTAAAAGTCTATGGAATCTTGTTTTGATATTTTTCATACTTCTTTTATTCTTATCTAAGATGATTTCTTTTGTCCCATTCAAGTTTGTGTTAACTTTGAGGTTAAATAAAGTCAAGAAAAAATTACAGTGCAATAAGAAGGTGAGGGTACGTTAAGGACGGGTCAGGCCGGGGGGGTTTATCGAGGAGGGGGTAGGAAGAGAGGTTAGGGGAACTAAGATCAATCAATTTTATGATCCGAGCACTCTAGGTGTCCCAATTGAATTTACCTAATAATCTTACACCAAATATCATCTTCGTCTCAGTTTATTTGTCATGTATGACTTTTTTAAGTTAAACTAAACAAACTTTGAGTTTTACTCTCAAATTTTATTAGAAATTGGTTTAATGAAATAAAATTTTGAAAATTCCCAACAATATAAATCTATTAAGATCATGTTATAGAAAAAAAACATTCTTTTTATTTAATTAAAGTTTAAAATTTATCCAGTTTTGTTAGAATATAAATAACTGTTCCTGGGACACAACCACACGCTTGAGCTTTTGGTTGAGTTGTTAAGAATATCCCACACCGAAAAAGTGTGAGAAAAATAATCGGTATATAAGCTCTTGAGTTGAACTAACTAATTGATTGGATTTAATCTTTTCATGTGGTTCAACCCAAGTGTCATATTATCTAATCCGGTTGTCCATACTCATCCTAAATTCTATCAAGTTTGGCTAGAAAATATCAAATTACACAAATATATTCAAATGAAGAAAGTTTTTGGTAACCATCGATCATATCTGAACTCAAAAAAGACAATTAAATTTAGCTTGCCCTTAATTTAATCTATTTCTTCTTCTTTTCTTCTTTAAAGTTTCCATCGTAAATCATTTTATTATGATCTGTGATTCATATCGATATCTTTTAAAATGTATTTAAACAAATAAATTTTGTCGAAGAATGTTGTGCTGAACTGCAGATTGTTGTTGTTAGAGCATTGGCAATGGCGAGGCAAATGCCCGCCACGCCATGCCACATCAGCAGCGGTTCCTTCGTGCCTCTTCCAAACTGAGGGTTTTAAAACCCTCTCCATGTGGCGCAATGAAAAAGAGACATGTGAACCCAATATTCCATCTCTTTTAAAAACTTAAATTATTCTTGTTAATTTAATATTGGCCCCAATACAAAATTAATTTATTTTTCTTCTTTTCAACGCCATCATACGTTAATGCCATCTTCGTTAATTGTTTTGCGTCTCCATCTCCATCCAACCTAGCATCGTATTTTTCAGAAGACCGTCTCCCATCATCGCCGCCTTCGCTCAGAGTGGTTATCTCCATCTAGCGCCATCGACAGGTTCGACCCTTCAAATATAACCCTAGATTAGCTCAATCTCTTGCTTTATTTCTCTCAGATTTCCTTCTATCAATTTTTTCATTGATTAAATGTCATTCTTGTGAGACGTATGAGCATTATGTCCTGAAATCTCATTTTCTTGTGCAAATATGTCTACTTCTCATTTTTAGTTTGATTTCCATCATTTGTATTCTTTTAAAGATTAGTCTAACTTTGGATATAAATAAAAAACTAGATATAAAAAATAACAAAAATGAGAAAAATAACTGAAATCTTATATTTAATATTTTATACTTATTTTTTATATTTGATATTTTATACTTATTTGATATTTTATAATTATTTTTTATAAGATAAGAATAATATTTAAAAAAAGGAAAAAGAAATTTATGTAGAAAGTTTTTTAATAACTTAAATAAATAAAAAACAAAAATTCACTAAAAATAATTCCAACTTTCATTTTATTGCACAAAACAGGCCGTTCCGCTAACCCGCTGTTAACAAAATAATAATTCATGGTGTTAAAATAAATTAATTTTAGATTGAGTCCAATATTGAATTAACAAAAATAATTTAAGTTTTTAAAAGAGGTGGAATGTCATGTCCACATGTCTCTTTCTTATTATGTCACATGGGGAGGGTTTTAAAACCCTCACTTTATAAGAGGCACCGAAGGATTGGCCCACATTCAGCCCTTTCGATCTCTATTTTGCCATGCTTGGCTTGGGCGTTCCTCCACGCAAGGCATGTCTTGTGCGAGACATTCTTCTCTTCTTTTTTTGCTTATTTTTTTTATTTTTTTATTTTATTTATTTATTTATTTATTTATTTATTTTATTTGTAGAAAAAATGATTTTTTTAAAAAATGGAGTGCATATATTTTTATGAAAAAATGATAAGTAAAACAAAAATTTTATAATTAAAATATGTCACAAAAGTGTGAAAAAAGAACAAAAATAATTACTTGTCACTGCATGACATGCCTCTCCACTCACTCACCACACGCTGACTGGACTTTTTTTATTGGTAAAAATGCTCTACGTCACTGTGTGGCATTCCATTTTTTGACTTGCCATTGTCAATGCTCTTATGATGGTGGATTACAATATTTCATTAGTTATTTAATACTACCTCCATCCCAGTGTATTTGTCCAGTTTGACTTTTTCGAGTCAAATTGGATAAACTTTGAACTCCAATTACTTCAATTTATATTGCTTATTAGCATAATGAAATACAATTTTGAAAGTTCTCAATACGATAAATCCAATAAAGTCATTTTTATATTAAAATAGATTACGACTTTTATTTAATTGAAACTCAAAGTTTGTCCAGTTTGACTCGAAAAAGTCAAACTGGACAAATACACTGGGATGGAGGGGGTAACTTATATTTCATTAGTTTTTATTACAGAGTATTTAGTATAAAGTGCTTCTATTGTGCACATTAGGTGCATATTGTTTCTGTGGAATTTCTCACATAAAAAAAATTATTTTTTTATTTTTTTTAAAAAACAATACTTATTTAGATGAGCAGATTTTATAAGTCCTTTTGATTATTTCTTTTTATGTTTTATTTCAACCCTTTTATATAATCGACAAGATAAGAAGTAAAATATCATTACCATTAGGGTTGCTCTCTCTTTCTCTCTTAAAAAGAGATGTAGCCGGCCACTTGAAATTCATTAAGGTATCACAATAACAATAATCCGTTCTAATTAGGGTTGGACACGGTACCGGTACGGTACTGTTACCGGCGACGGTACCGCCGGTACCGCCACCGGAGACGGACACGGAAGGACAGTTCCGGGAATCGGTACTGATACCGTCCCACACGGTACCAGTTTCGGTGTCAGTTTTTCGGCACCGGCATCGGCAATACCGGTATCGGTTCTGGTACCGACTGTTTGAATTTTTTTCTTTCTTTGTTGGCTTTTGCAACCTTGCAGTGCAGGTGGGCCGTGGGGGCTCCTCAAATGGCTATAATGTCGTTGAGGAGGGGGAAGGGGTTTGGGGGTTACTATATAAACCCTCCCATTTTTTAAAAAAATACCACACTCTCATTTCTCATTTCTCAAATCTCAATCCCTTCATCTAATCATATCTATTAATTTCTATTATCTCTCTTCAATATTTAATTCTTTATACATTTTATATTCATATAATAATATAAAAAAATAAATATATATTAATATATTATATAATATATAGTTATATACTTATATAATCTTAAATTTTTAGTCATACATTCATATATTACTAATATATTATATTGTTATAAATTAATATTATAATTTCAAAATTCAAAATATAATTAATATTCTGAATATTTAATGTAGTCCTTTTTTATCAAAATAAAAATACATTAAAATGTCAAGAGAGTCCGGTAGAAGATCCGTGCATATGGGCATTGTGAACCGAAGTGAAAAGTGAGAGAATTCTTTATTAATTTCAATATGTCATTACAGGAGTGTATATATACTAATTCCCTATTCCTATACATGGTAGAATATACAAAAGGTAATAATGAGTAAAAAGAAACTATACATGAAAAGGAAACAATATATACACAGAATATTATAAATATATTTGTTATATTTAACATGCTCCATGCGGTTTCGGAGGTGAGGAACGAATGCTGAGGCTGTCCCTGAAGTCAATGAAGAAGAGAGATGAGAGACCTTTTGTGAAGATATCAACATACTGGGAAGAGGAGGGAACATGCAATACACGAATATGTCCAAGAGCCACTTTGTCTCGTACGAAGTGAATGTCCACTTCAACATGTTTAGTGCATTGATGCTGAACAGGGTTTGTTGAGAGGTAAACAGCACTAATGTTATCACAAAAGACAAGAGTTGCTTTGCTGATAGGCTGACGAAGCTCAAGAAGAAGATTGTGAATCCAGCTAGATTTAGCAACTGCATTTTCCACTGCCCGATACTCTACTTCTGCACTCGATCGAGAGGTGGTAGCTTGTCGTTTCGAGGACCATGACATCAGATTATCCCTCAAGAAAACACAGTAGCCGGATGTGGATTTCCAAGTGTCTGGGCATCCTACCCAATCTACATCCGAATAGGCCTGAAGCTGGTCCGTCCTGGATTTAGTGAGAGCGGTCCCATGTGTGGATGTGCCATGGAGGTAACGGAGCACTCTCTTCAAAGCAGTGAGATGACCGGTCAGGGGCTCATGGAGATGAAGGAAAAGTTGTTGTATTGCATAGGTTATGTCTGGTCGTGTGAAGGTGAGATACTGCAAGGCGCCAACAATAGATCGATAGAGAGTGGGGTCGGGCACTGGTGATCCAGATTTGGAAGCTAATTTCCCTTTGGTGTCACGGGTGTGAATATTGGCTTGCAGTTCGTCATACTAGAACGCTCAAGTATCTCATGTGTGAACTGAGTCTGATGGAGAAAGAGACCATGAGCATTGCATTGCACATTCACCCCAAGAAAGAAATGTAAGTCCCCCATGTCCGTCATGGCAAACTCCCCTTTAAGCTTCCGGATAAGTCGTTGAAGGAGAGTGGGATGAGAGGCGGTAAGGACAATATCATCCACATACAGCAGTAAGTACGCCATGTCGGTGCCACGATGATAAACAAAAGGGAGGTGTCTAACTTGCATCCTCGAAAGCCCAAGGATTGAATGAACGTAACAAACCAAAGATACCAGGAGCGAGGTGCCTGCTTCAATTCGTACAACGCTTTATTTAGCTTGCAGACATAATGTGGGATCTTGAAAGCCGGAAGGTTGGTTGGCATAGTCAGTTTCTTGAAGAGTACCATGCATGAATGCATTTTTGACGTCCAACTGATGGATGGGCCACCCATGGCTCGGGGCGAGACTGAGAACAATCCGAATCGTAACTGGTTTGACAATCGGGCTAAAAGTCTCATCATAATCTACTCCAAAGCGCTGATTGAAACCACGAACCACCCAACGGGCTTTGTACCTGGACAATTCACCTGTGGGACCAAGTTTATGGCGAAAAAGCCATTTTCCTGAGATGACATTTTGGCTTGGGTGAGGTGGTACTAAGTCCCATGATTTATTATTAGTCAAAGCATTTCATCTTCACACATGGCAGCATTCCATTTAGATCTTTAAGTGCACTACGGTATCTGGGTGAAAGAGGGGAAATGGGTGTCGTGGTGTGAAGGTTTAAGATTTGTTTGGGACAGGATATGCCAGCCTTGGAACGGGTGACCATAGGATGGTTATTTGGAGTTTGGGGAAGGTTAGGTGGGGAGAGAGACTCGGAGGAAGCCGTAAGGTTTGGTGTATTTGAGGGGATAGGGGAGGCCATAGGGGTAGGTGGACCAGAAGAGGTGGGGGAAGTCGGGGTGGACGGTGAAACCGAGGGAGTGGTGGTAGGGGGGAATTGTGTGATTTGAGGAAAGGCAAAGTTAAAACCACCTCCGGTGGTTCCAGCTCATGTGGTTCTCAAGAAAGACACTCCGTCTCTTCCTTCTTTACTATCCCTGATGAATTCGTGGGCGACGCTATGACGGATCAAGAATTCGAACAGTATTTGGGAGGTAGAATCGACTCCAATCTTCCAACTCTTGAAGATATATTCGAGGACATTGATGAAGCGGAAATAGACGTGGAGCCTACACCGAAGAGCAACAAATCCTACCGACGCCGACGAGGAGGCAGGTGAGCCCGAGACCTCTCAAGGTCCGGGGAAAGGTAAAAAAAAATTAAAATCTAATTTATTTGCTTATCATTTTTCAAAAGAAACGAAAAATGGTGAAGTTTT